ACTCAGAAGGGACTGAATGCCAGGGATCATCGGCAGGTCTCACATGGCTAAGAGCAGCACTGAGACCACTAAGTTTGGTCCTGTTGTAGGAGAGAACTTTCTGAGATCTGGTCTAGCCTTGACACTGGTCTATAGACAAATAAGCATGAGGCTGCCAAAGCTGGCATTTTTCAATTCCAGGTAAAGTGGTCATGATGCAGAGGACCTAAGGTATAGGGAGAGATAACAAATGCATGTATTCAGAGGGATCTTGGGATAACTTGGGGCAAGTAGAACATCCCTTCCCTGTGATGCTCTGTCCCCAAACCATTATGGAGGAGCAGTCTGTGGAGAAGAGGGTAAATATCTTCTTAAACCTATATAGGAAGACTAGCTTCTCCCACTGGCCAGCTACTTAGACTGTAATGGGCTGAAGAACCATGAGCACAAGGGTGCACACAGCCTTGCAAGGAAAACCAGTCCAGAAACACTGAGCTTGTTGCTTATGTGGCCACAGCTGTTCTGCATCAGTGGGATGTTTCAGTCCTTATGTACTTCACTGAAGCTAAGGCCTGGGAAGGGAGACTTGGGTGCTGGAGGCAGGCTAGTGAATCCCAGGACTACAGCCCAAGAGAATAACTGTGGCTCCAGACCAAGGTGATATCTCTAAGGAGGCAAATCTCAGTATGAACAGGTGTGAAGTTTATTTCTTCTTGTGCTGAGAATTGCATTGGATCTGATGGGGATTTTGTGTGTCCCTGCTACTTAGGGAGGCATGTTGCTACCTTTAGCCTTTTACCTGAGAGAAGACAAGTCAGCTGAGGACCAGGCCCCCATATATATCACCTCCCCACTTCACTGCCTATCTGCTGGATGGAGCAGGAGCAGATGCAATCAGTATCAGCTACTTGTAGCAGGACCTTCACACACATCATCCCAAAGCTGTGCTCGGGTTTCCACCTCACAGTGGACAAATCTGAGTCCTTGAGATGCTTTTTGGGACATAGCATGTTTATTGAAACACTGCTTAAATTCCACCCAGTGGGCCACTGACCCAGCCACAATGACCAGTTTTGTCCACCTGGGTGACTTGGGGGCTCATGGTCACCCCTGGATTTCTCATTTGCCATGCTTTCTCTCCTACCATCTGCAGGTTCTTTGGACATGGTCTCTCATGGAAGCCTATTTTCACCAAGTATGTATCCTGTCTGGTGTAGACAAGTGTGAGTGAGATGGGGTGCAGGAAGCAGAGTGCCTGTGTTTAGACATGATGCTGGAGAACTGCTTTCCCTTCTTTGTTCCTAGAGCCGGACTCCTGAAAGTAGCAGGGCAGCCATGAGAAATCATTCCCTGCAGCCAGAGGTCCCTAAAGGGACCCTAATGATGTTGGCCTAGGGAAAGTCATTTTGGAAGATAATAGACACTACTATACCTGCCTCATTAGTCCCTGAATGCCACTAAAAGTAGACCTGCCATTATCTGCCAAGGCTGCAGGTGTTACGCTTGGGAAATGTGGAACTCTCAACCAGCTTCTTCATTGGTTTATATTGTTTCTCTTACAGGTGTCTGGTCACATCCTGAAACATATAGCCAGAAAATTCCTGACCTGAGAACATGCACACTCAGTACTAGTGCTAAAGATGCAGGAGAGAACATCCCACTTCCCTTCTCAAGAAAACCAGCAGGTCATTTCCTGAGCTCTAGAGGAGCTGTCTCAGGAGGACATGCTGTGGAGGGCAAGGAAATGGTTTCTGTTCCAGCATCCAACCACAGACCACCACCCCCAATTCTCAGCAAGACTGGGGACAACAGGAGGACCCCCTTGTGAAAGCCTCCCGGTGGGTGTGTCACTGTGGAATCCCTGTCTCACTTTGATGCTTTATGTATGTTTGACATTGTAGAAGGGTCAAGTAAGCTTCTTTGTCCTCACAGATGACCCAGGAAACCTGCCTGAGCAGATCAAGAAAATGCCTCAGCAGAGTCTTGGGAAGGGAATGTTCATCTCTGCATGGCCTCTAGACTGGATTGCCTGAGAAGGGCAGTGTCCAGGGACCATCTTTTCCAGGCCATCAATAACTTGAGATGGTGCACATGAAGTCATCCACTTGTACTGTATCTCACTGGTGTTGCATAGAAACTATGTACAAACAAACAAATACTGAAGTTCTGAAGTAGAATTCCAACTGAATTTATCCTAATTGACATTCAGAACACTTTGGGAGGGCTGAGAAAAATCCAAAGGAATATAAACTCTCAGA